GTTAAGCGACTGCCTTCGGCTCAGGTCATGATCCTGGAGTCCCGGGATCGAGTCCCGCATCGGGCTCCCTGCTCAGTGAGGAGCCTGCTTCTCCCTCTGACCCTCCCCCCTCTCATGTACTCTCTCTCATTCTCGCTCTCTCAAATAAATAAATAAATCTAAAAAAAAAAAGGTCTCATAAGATAAAATAGAGTAAATAAAGCTAAATATATCAGTAATTATAATAAACAAAAATAAACTTTGATTAAAAGGCATTGATTATCAAAAAGGATTTTTTTTTAAAAAGCTATGCAGTGTTCATAAAAGATATACCTAAAACATAAAGACACAAAAGAATTAAAGTAAAAATATGGAAAAATTATATAAGATGCAAACATAAACCAAAGAAAAATCATTTAGGTGTGTTCACATCAGGCAAAAATGGACTTTAAAGCAACGGCATTTCTAGAGATAGAATAATTTCATAATTTCATAATTCACTTCTCCAAAAAGATATAATTTTACATTTGAATATACCCAATAAAATAGTTTAAAATGCATAAAGCGAAAAATGAAAATACTACTGGAAGAAAGAACATCTACAATGGCATTGTGAAATTTTAACTTGGGCTCAGAAATTGACACTTGGGCTGTGTAAGACATATACAGGATTTGCAACCAACAATTTGTTAACTTTTTTTTTACAAACATACAGGGGATATTTATGAAAATTGATCACATACTAAGCCATAAAGCAATATCCAACTACTTTCAATAATTACTATCACAAAGACCAGATGTTTCTGACCAAAATGCAATTTAAAAAGTAAACATATGAATAGAAAACAAGGGTGTGCACACATACAAGTTTCTAAATTATTCATGGGTAAAGAGGGAAGAACCCCTAATGGAAATTACAGAATATTTTTAAAAGATGTATTTATTTATTTTGGGGCAGGAGGGCAGAGGAAAAGAGAGAGTCAACCAGACTCCACACTGAGCATGGAGCCCAAATTGGGGCTCAATCTCACAACCCAGAGATCATGACCTGAGCCAAAACAAAAAGTAGGACATTTAACTGTGCCACCCAGGTGCTTCAGAAATTATAGAATATTTAGAACTGAATAGCAATGAAATTATTGTCACTCATCACACTTTGTAGAACATAGGCAAAGTGATGATTAGAAAAAAAATTGTATGTTTAAATATTTAGAAAAGAGGAAATGGTGAAACCTAATAAGGTAAGCAAACAATTTAGGAAGTGAGGGGGGAAAAACACAGGAGAATAAATCCGAATAAAGTATAGGAAAGTAGTTAACAAAGGACAGTTAGGAAAATAGAAACAAAGTTATTAACAAGATATTCCCCCAACAGACAGCTCTCACTATTTGGCCCACAGTGATACTCAGAGTTGAAAACCTCACCAAATGCTGAGAGCTTCCAAATAAATTTTTAGGCTCTAGCTCTCTCAATCATTGATATACACCCAAGATTATCACATATATAAGGAAAGCCTATAACATGGAACGCAAATCAAATTGAACAAATGGGAGGTGGACAACTTGGATAAAGCAAAGATTCTTCAGAGAGAAATAAAAATTTAAAAGTTATTATTAATATCTTCAGAGATATAAGAAAAGTCAAAGCTTTAATGAAGCAATAGCAGAGTGTTAGAATAAAAGGAACATGCAGGAAACAAAATTCAATGTATGATAGCAGAAGTAAAAATCAGGAAGGGAGACTGCTAAATAAATTTAAGAAACTTTACCATAAAGTAAAAGGATAATAAAATAAAATTAGAAAACCGTTTCAGTGTGTCCAGCATCCAAAAGGAGAACAGATAAAATAAAGTAGAATATCATCAATGAAATAATTCAAGGAGATTTATCAAGAATGAAAGACATAACTTTCTAGACTGAAAAGGGTATGGCACAATGGATGGAAGTAAGCACACTCTGAGGTATGTTATTGTAAAATTTCAGACCATTGAGTAGAAAAAGTTCCTAAAACTTCCAGAGGGAAAAAACAGGTGACATAGATAGGATTGAGAATCACAATAGCTTCAGATATTTCTATACCAATATGGAAAGCTAACAGACACTTTAGCAATGCCTTTCTGAAGGAAAATGTTTTCTACATTAAATTCCCATACCAACCAATTACCAATTTGGGTGGGAAAAGTACAGATATCTTCAGACATAGATAATCTATTTTTTCCTTCTACATATCCTTTCTCAGAAAGCTACTAAAGAATGTGTCCCATCAAAGCTAGGAAGTAAAGCAGGAAAGACAAATACATGACATACAAGAAATGAAAGCCCAATGCAAAGAAAGATGAAAGTCATCCCCAAGATGATAATGGATGAAGAGGTATAAAATGGCAAACAATCCAAATTGTGTCATGTATGAAATTCTTGGACAAAAAAATTTAGGATCCCATAAAAACAGCCACTCTTTCTTGTAAAACATATGAATGGGCCTAATAAAAGTCCACAGAGAGACATTATTTGCTCTGATGGGTCCATATGTTGCAGGTGTCAGGCTGAATCTGAAAGACAACAAAGAATAAGTTCCTAAAATAAGTGGATACACTAAGCCTGATGATTCTTTTTTGGCCAAAAAAATAAGCAAAACCTTTCTGATACCCACAAACTGAAATAGAAGAGAACTTACCCTATATATGCATATATACTTGTATATACCTAGAATAACTCTGGAAAGATAAATGTAATTGCCTCTGCGAAGAGGAACTTAGTAAAAGGGATATGAGGAAGATTTATTTTTCACCATTTACTCCTTTGTTTCTTTTGAATCTTATACATATGTACATACAGCCTATCCAAAATGAATAAAATAAAATATATAACTTGTACCCTTTGATCCAATAATTTTGCTCCTAGGAATTTATCCTAAAATACATCTTCACAAGTGCAGAGTGATACATGTTCAAAGTTACTTATTTAAGTGCTATTTTTAACAGCATAAGATTGGATATAATTTATGTCCTTTGACAAAAAAACTGATAAATTTACATATATATAACCTTTATATATGTGTGTGTGTGTGTATATATATCCATATAGGATTATACTATGCATCCACAAAAGAAAATGAAAAATGATCTTTCCTGATATGAAACAGTATTATTCCATATACTATTGAATATAAAAGTTTAGAACAAAAGTATACTACCTATTAAGAAAATGTAAAAGTGTTTACTTATACATACTTATTTTTACTTATATATTCTTGTGTATCATTACCTAGGAGGATATGAAAGAAATTGATAACAGTGATTAGAGGGTAATTTAATGGCAGAAAAACAAGAATGAGAGAGATTTCCTATTGCATATCCTTCTTTGCCTTCTGAATTTTAACCACGTAAATACATTACCTATGCAAAAAATACACAAAATAAATCAAAATAAAGATATAAAAAGAAATAATATTTGAAAAGAGCGTTGCAATTAGTAATACAGCAAGGAATTAAATAATATCAATTATTATCACTAATTTTATACCAATGTGTGTTAAAATACAGATATAACTCACAAATTCCTGGATAACTTATCAAAACTGGATCAAAAAGAATAGAAAAACAATTATAGTAAAAGGCATTGGGCCAGTAACTGTTAAATGTTCCACCAAGTAAACACTGGTCTCAAACCGTTTGATAGGTAAATTCTATCAAATACTCATGGAACAACAAAATATTAAAAAAAAAATAAAGGCAGGGATTTTTATATATTTTGTTCTGTGCTATATCTCAAATCTCTAGAGCAATTTCTGGCATAGAGTAGACTCCTCATTCATTTTAGGAGTCTAGAGTAGATTCTTAGTTCTTTGGTATGAACTTAATTGTGCAAACAGACATGAACAGTATGTATATACAATATCTTCCTAAACCTAGTAAATGGCATCTTACCATAAACCTAGAAGAAACATCACCTCAGTAGAGAATTGTTAGAATTATTTTCTGTAGAATCAGTAACAGGATAAAGTTTCATAATAAAAGAACTCCTATTTAGCACTGGAGAGCCTAACCCACATAATAGTATTAAAGAAGACATACAGATGGCTAACAGACACATGAAAAAATGTTCAACATCACTAGCCATCAGGAAAATTCAAATCAAAACCACACTGAGATACCACCTTACACCAGTTAGAATGGCAAAAATTAACAAGGCAGGAAACAACAAATGTTGGAGAGGATGTGGAGAAAGGGGAACCCTGTTACACTGTTGGTGGAAATGCAGGTTGGTACAGCCACTCTGGAAAACAGTATGGAGGTTCCTCAAAAAGTTAAAAATAGAGCTACCTTATGACCCAGCAATTGCACTACTGGGTATTTACCCCAAAGACACAGAGGTGAAAAGAAGGGGCATATTCACCGCAATGTTCATAGCAGCAATGTCCACAACAGGCAAACTGTAGAAGGAGCTGAGATGCCCTTCAGCCAATGAATGGATAAAGAAGATGTGGTTCATATATACAATGGAATATTATTCATCCATCAAAAAGGATGAATACCCACCATTTGCATCGACATGGATGGAATGGAGGGGATTATGCTAAGTGAAATGAGTCAAGCAGAGAAAGACAATTATATGGTTTCACTCATATGTGGAACATAAGGAATAGCATGGAGGACATTAGGAGAAGGAAGGGAAAAATGAAGGGGGGGAAATCAGAGGGCGAGATGAACCATGAGAGACTATGGACTCTGGGAAACAAACTGAGGGTTTCAGAGGGGAAGGAGGTGAGGGGATGCATTAGCCCGGTTATGGGTATTAAGGAGGGCACATATTGAGATGAGCACTGGGTGTTATACACAAATAATGAATAATGGAACATTACATCAAAAACTAATGAAGTACTGTATGGTGACTAACATAATAAAAATAAATAAAATAAATAAATAAAAAGAAAATAAAAGCTGTAAGGATTAGAATGATAGAAACAGATATGATTACCTACCTAGAAAACCCAAATAGTTTTACAGACAAATTACTAGAATAAGAAAATATGGCAGTGGCTAGACTAAAATTCATATACAAATATTGTAATTTTATACAGCAGCAATAAACAAAATGTTTTTAAATATTTGAAGTACCATAGAAATATATAAATTATCTGGACATAAATATATCAAAATATGGGCAATGTTTTTATGGAGAAAGTATAAACCAAAAGTGAAAGACAATAAAGAGAACTACATTAATGGAAATTTATACCATACTCATAGTTAAGGATACTCTCTACAATGAAAATATCAGTTGTCCTATAGATAGACAGATAGATAGATAGATAGATAGATAGATAGATAGATAGATAGATAGATTCATGCAATCTCAGCTAAAACATCAGCAGTCTTACAAGGAATAAGTGACTCCAAAATTCACATGGAAATGCAAAAGAGAATGCAGAAGAGAAGAGACTCCAGAGAGCATAGAAAAAATTAAAAAGGAAGACAGGAGATATACTAGCAACCAACTTCACCTGATATCTACAGAACATTCCAACTCACAACAAGAAACCGAGGCAAGGGAAACAAAAGCAAAAATAAACTATTGGAACTTCATCAAGATAAAAAGCTTCTGCACAGTGAAGAAAACAATCAACAAAACTAAAAGGCAACCCAAGGAATGGGAGTAGGTATTTGCAAAGGACATCTATGATAAAAGGTTAGTATCCAAAATATATAAGGAATTTATCAAACTCAACACCCAAAACCAAATAATACAATTAAAAACGGGCAGAAGACATGAATAGACATTTTTCCAAAGACATTCAGATGGCCAACAGACATATGTAAAGATGCTCAACATAACTGATCACCAGGGAAATACAAATCAAAACTACAACTAGGTATCATCTCACACCTGTCAGAATGGATAAAATCAACACCATAAGAAACAACAGGTGTTGGGGCGCCTGGGTGGCTCAGTCATTAAGCATCTGCCTTCAGCTCAGGTCATGATCCCAGGGTCCTGGGATCGAGCCCCGCATCAGGCTCCCTGC